GGCGGCAGTTTTAATATTAGGGGAGGCTTTAATAATAGTGGGAAGGGATTAAACCCTAAACCCTAAACCCTAATCCTAGTTCCATGGGTTACAGTAAGGTTTGGGGTTTTCCAGATATGGGGTTTCCGAGAATAGGGGACGCTATTATAGCACCCTAAATAGTAGGATCCTTATTATAAGGAGCCCAAATAAGGTACCCCATACTTACTCTAAATAGTAGGATCCTTAGTATAAGGAGCCCAAATAAGGTGCCCCATATTTTCGGAAGCTCCCAAATCACGCTGGTTAAGTATCTGTGGCAGCTTGCGACATCAGCGGGTCTTGGGGTGGACTCTAGGGCCCCACGAATGTAGGATTCTTTTTCATCACGTATACTCGTTTGGGGTTCGTTATTATTATTATTATAGTATAATATACCCCAAAACCCTATTCTAATTAAATTATTAAGGCCCCTATATTAATTCGTAACTGTTCCTCAAAAATCCATCAGGAAGCTGTGGAGTCGTCGCTCGCGAACCCAAAGCCCCCAACCCCGAAACTCCAAACACCCAGCCCTCGGCCAAGAGCCCAAAAAACCCTAAGATATGCCTGACACCTGGCACTGGCGCGTCCAGAAGTTTGTAGAACAGCATGCGTTACAGAAGCCTGAGGAATGATACCATCATGCGGTAGTCCAGACTTATTACCATATAGGCCCAAAGCCCCTGAACCCCAAAGCCCTTAAGCCGTACGCCCTACGATCCTTGAGCCCTAGACGCCAAACCTGAAGAGCCCAGAAGCCCGAAGCCCTGAAAGCCCAACCCCCTTAAAACCGCAGCCTTTCGAGGCCTCCTGGACATCCCTACACCCTCATGGGAGTTTCCGAAAACAAGGGACACGCTATTTTGGGGTGACTATACTAAGGATCCTATTATTTAGGGTACTTTGTTAGGGTCCTCCATTTTCGGAAACCCCCTCATAGATCGATGAAGGAACCTTTTAAAGGATCGCTTTAAGTGTAAAGGTCCCGTAAACCCTGAACCTCAAGAAGCCCTTCCTTGGGGCTCCTGGTTATAAACTTTTCCTGGTTATAACCGAAAGCCTCTAAAGACCAGCGGCCTGTCGGAGCCCACAGTTTTCACAAAGGGCTGCTTATTCTAGTTTTACTGTGGATCTGTACACATATACATACATACATACATACGTACGTACGTACGTACGTACGTACGTACGTACGTACATACATACATATGCATACATACATATGCATACATACATATACATACATACATACATACATACATACATACATACATACATACATACAGACATACATACATACATACATACATACATACATCATGCATACATCATACAGACATACATGCATACATACATACATACATCATACATACATACCTACATCATACATACATACATACATACATACATACATACATACATACATCATGCATACATACATACATACATCATACATACATATACATACATACATACATACTTACATACATACATAAATACATACATACATACATACATCATA